AACATAGCGTCGGAAGTCCTAACCTCAGCAATCAGACAACAAAATGAAATAAAAGACAACCAAACTAGCAAAGAAGTCAAACTTTCACTTTTTTGCAGACATGATACTCTACATGGAAAACCCAAAAGACTCCACCAAAAAGCTGCTAGAACTGATACACGAATTTGGCAAAGTCACAGGATACAAAATCAATGTACAGAAATCAGTTGCATTTCTATACACCAATAAGCAAACAACAGAAAGAGAAATCAAGAAATCAATCCCATTTACAATTACACCAAAAACCGTAAAATACCTAGGAATTAACCTAACCGAAGATGAAAAGGTCTGTATGCTGAAAACTATAGAAAACTTATGAAGGAAATTGAAGAAGACACAAAGAAATGGAAAAACATTCCATGCTCATGAATTGGAAGAATACATATTATTTAACATCAATATTACCCAAAGCAGTCTACACATTCAATGCAATCCCAATCAAAATTGCACCAGCATTCTTATCAAAGCTAAAACAAACAATCCTAAAATTTGTATGGAACCAAAAAAGACCCCGAATAGCCAAAGCAATGTTGAAAAAGAAAACCAAAGCAGAGGCATCACAATCCCAGACTTTAATCTCTACTACAAAGCTGTAGTTATCAAGACAGTATGGTATTGGCACAATAACAGACACATAGGCCAATGGAAGAGAATAGGGAACCCAGAATAGGACCCGCAAATGTATGACCAACTAATCTTGGACAAAGCAGGAAAAGAGTATCCAACGGAAAAAAGATTGTCTCTTTAGGAAATGGTGCTGGGAGGACTGGACAGCAACATGCAGAAGAATGAAACAAGATCCCATTCTTACACCATGCACAAAAATAAACTCAAAATGGATGACCGACCTAAATGCAAGACAGGAAACCATCAAAACCCTACAGGAGAAAACAGGCAACAACCTCTTTGACCTCAGCTACAGCAATTTCTTGCTCAACACGTCTCCAAAGGCAAGGGAATTAAAAGCAAAAATGAACTATTGGGACCTCATCAAGATAAAAAGCTTCTGCACTGCAAAGGAAACAATCAACAAAACTAAAAGGCAACCTATGGAATAGGAAAAGATATTTGCAAATGACACACCAGATAAAGGGTAAGTATCCAAAATCTATAAAGAACTTACCAAACTCAACATGCGAAAAACAAATAATCCAGTGAAGAAACGGGCAGAAGACACGAATAGACACTTTTCCAAAGAAGATATCCAGATGGCCAATGGACAGATGAAAAGATCCTCAACATCACTCATTATCAAGGACATACAAATCAAAACCACAATGAGATACCACCTCACGCCGGTCAGAGTGGCTAAAATGAACAACTCAAGAAACGACAGATGCTGGTGAGGATGTGAAGAAACGGGAAACCTCTTGTACTGTTGCTGGGAATGTAACTTGGTGTAGCCGCTCTGGAAAACAGTGTGAAGTTTCCTCAAAAAATGAAAAATAAAACTACCCTATGACCCAGCAATAGCACTACTAGGAATTTATCCAAAGGATAAAGGAGTGCTGATTCATAGGGGCACATGTACCACCATTTTTATAGCAGCGCTTTCAACAATAGCCAAATTACGGAAAGAGCATAAATGTCCATCCATTGATGAATGGCTAAAGAAGATGTGGTTTATATATACAATGGAATACTACTTGGCAATGAGAAAGAATGAAATCCTGCCATTTGCAGCAATGTGGGTGGAATTGGGAGGGTATTATGCTAAGTGAAATAAGTGAGTCAGAGAAAGACAGATATCATATGTTTTCACTCATATGTGGAACTTGAGAAACTTAACAGAAGGCCATGGGGGAAGGGAAGGGAAGGGGGAAAAAATAGTTACAAACAGAGGGGGACCAAGG